AGGAGAGAGAGAGAGAGAGAGAGAGAGAGAGAGAGAGAGAGAGAGAGAGAGAGAGAGAGAGAGAGAGAGAGCAGTTGTGTGCGTGTGGGATAAGTTTTTTTTTGTTGTTCATTTCTTTTCCTTTTTGTTGTTCCTTTCTTTTCCTTTGTTCCTCTATATAATTTTGGATCCGGATATGGTCGATTTTATTGCGACCTTCTTTTTGACTTCTCATGTAAATCGTCTCGGATTTTCCTTGTCATTTACTTCGTATGCATGCATGAAATGAATATGAAGTCTTTTTTGTTAGCGATCTTTTCGGATTTCCGATTTGTTTTGCGATCCGCTTGCGTGAGCTATACGCTCAGATCTGATTGAAAACGTTCGTTATGGACGTATGAACTTAAGCCGTTAACCTTCGATCACCCAGAGTACAGCGAGGAGTTGATTGTTTTGCCCCCTCTTTCCTCCTTCCCGTCACGTGTATGGCATGTAATAATCGGATCACGCCCAACATAGCAGGGGTAGGATATCTGCATGCATGTTGAACGCAATCGACCCCCAGAACCAATCCGATGTTTCTCACATACACGCGCGCGTATGACCGCGATCTCGAGGAAACTGAGTCGCTGCGTACTCACTTGCCTGTGTGAGTCAGCCTAAAAGTTCGCACGAGGATGCAGGAGACCGAGCTTTCTAAACAGATATGGCTGCGGAATTTTCCTCTTGGATGTCCAATCGTGAGAGCCTGAGGGACTTGGAATACCGCGAATACTGGGAAAATGAACAACTAGACAGGGAAATTTAAGAAATCCAGAATCCCCCTGCCTAACAGAAAACGACCGATTATGCGCGAGGGATTTTCACTGTGCCATAACGACCCTAGGGGTCCCGATTACTCGGAAACTTATAACACGCAATATTTCATATCCCCCAACTTCGTCGTTATTACTACCAGTTTCCCTCCCTTCCATGTCCTCCTTCCGTATCACCAACTCACAGTGGTACCGTGGAATTCCATAGCCCGCTACTGGCCTCGCAGACCGTGCGAGAAGTGCAGGCGGCACCAGGCCTATTGAGCCTCGGAGTTCGCTTGACAAGCCTGAACTGAAGCAGAGGGGTGCCGATGACTGATCGAGCCACACAATCGGCCACGAAGGCGAAATCAGAGGAGATGGTGATTCCCATTTCTTTTCGGCCTTGAAAGTTGAACCCGTTGGCAGGGGCAATGTTGTTGGGATTTTGTTCGAGAATGCAAGAGTGTTTAGATCTATCGGCACGGCGATAGCGGGAAGGTGCCCCGGATCTTTAGCCTGAGATGCACTGCGCATGCCATCTGCCTTGTGCTGCACGACATCAGCAACCTCCCTTCTGAGTACACCCTCTTTTTCACCTATACCCCCGAAACTTGCCACAGGAGATCTTTGTTCCGAACTAGGACTCCACCCGCACTTTCCTAAAATCCTTGGCACACTCCCTTTTGCACACTTTCGAGGCCCCATCCCACTCCGATCAGGAAGTCGCTCTGGGCGTGAGGTTGGGCGTCACACCACGCTCGAAATGTGCAAAATGGGAATGAACTTACTGCTAGAACATGGTCGGATGCACCCGCTCCTTTTTCACATTTTGGGAGTGGTGTGGTGAGGCCACAGAAATTCACACCACAATCACCAGCACTACGAGACAAGCCAGGCCTACTGCCAAGGCCGCAGTGTCAGGGACGGTCGCCACACGTAGCAGTTCGTGGAGGGGTGACCAATGCCGCCCTCGAGGAAAGCCCATTGCAGGCGGGGGTATAGGGAGGTCGTGGAGACCTACCGCCAAGTGCTTTGGGACCGAATTTCTGACATAGACCATTCTGTGGCGATTGGCGATGCAATGGAAAAAAGTCTCTTTGCCAGGTGTGGCGGATGGCGGGTAGTGGAACGAGGCCCTGTGCACGGCGGATTGTGGAGGGTGGTCCTCGGACCTCTCCACAAAACAACTTTCTGGAGAGTGCAGGGCTTCACAAGTAGACATCGGGTAGACAAAAAAAATTAACTTTTCTGTAGAAGAACTCTTAGACTAGTGGCGAGTAAGAGGCTCGCCACACAGGCTGTCGAAAACCGGGTTTTCGACAATTTTGCATCGCCACACAGACTTTCGGAGAATTGCGGCTCAAAAAACTTTCGACAGGTGTCAGAATGGTCCTTTCGACAGCCGCCCTCCAGCAACTGTTTCCTCCCGCCTGCAGGTGACGGAAATTCGGCAGTGCCTCGCCGGGCTTTCGAAAATTGCGTTCGAATTTGCGTTGGCAGAGACTGCTCCCTGACAGTCGTGGCCTGTTTGTCCGTATGTAGTCAACAATGGCTGTCGAAAACGGCGTCTGCATCTGGTCCGGTTGTGTGGACAAATTCATATATGTAACAACTCCCAACAGTCCACCGCCTTCCCCACAGTGCCCACACAGCACCTGTCGAAAGGCGGTGTCGACTTGCCTACTTTTGACAATTTTGCCTCTCGACAGGCTGTGTGGTGATAGGGGGCAAAATTGTCAAGCGCCGGGCTGTCGAAAAATTACTGACACCTGTTGAAAATTTTCAACATTCGACAGCCTGTGTGGCGAGCCTCTAAGGGCCTCGTCGCACTACTGGCCATCCGCCGAGATTTTGAATGCATCTCGACAAAATCATGTCCACATGAAATCAAAATCTTGGCGGATGGCGAGTAGTGCGTCGAGGCCCTAAGGGCCTCTTTCCACTACTCGCCATTTGCCGTGCATGGCGGACGCGACTTGGTTCCACTGCATCGCCAATAGCCACGAAATGGAGACTGTCAGAATTTGGGTGTGAAATCACTTGGCGATGTGCCGCCAAGGCTTTCCATTTCCCCTGCCTGCAACGGCCCTTCGTGGAGGCTCTATTCCTCACCCCTCCGCGAAATGCTTCGTGTGGCCATTGCCCCTGACACAGCCGTCCTGACAGTCGACCTGCGTTGTCCCCTAGTGTTGGCAAGTTTTAGCTGCACCTGGAGTGATTTCCAGTCCGAGTACATGGTGAAGAGAAGGTGTTCCATTAGCTTGCCATCCGCCACAGTCCGGGGAGCAGGCCTGGACAGCAACCACAGCGCACGTGGCTGCGGCGATGTAACAGAACCAAGACCCTTTTTCTGCCAGAAAAATGCAGTTTTCGGCCTCGCCAAGTATGGCGAGTAGTGGAACGAGGCCCTAAGTGCAAGTAGGCCTTGAGTTCGACGCCATTCTCATATTTTTCACTCT